AGTGTGCAAGCCAAAACACAGTGTTTGTACATCTTTAAAGTTTTTTGATTGCTTCAAATATATTTAAAAAGACACATAGTGCTTAAATTTATTAATTTTAATATAAACCAAGGATGGGAAGGTGAGAAAATGGGAATTTTCTGAGGTGTTTTTAACACAGACAATGACAGCCGACATTTTGAAAGGCACTCTGCGGTGACAAAACTAAAAGCTATTCACTTCTGTACTCAAAGCACTGAAAAGCATCATAAAGAGAAAAACACTTTAAATACATGTCAGGTAAGACTTTTACCTCGACATTTTCATGCTTCTATTGGGAAAGCAACGGTTTAACACTCCTTTTCGACCACCCCCTTTCGCATCATATTATGACACAATTTTTCTAATATAAATATCTCGGCGAGTATTTACCCCCCTTTTAAATAAATACCACCATTGTAATCCTCACAAAATAACCTTTCAAACGGGGGGTCAAGTGCCGTCTGAACATTACACAAACCGAAACAATCATATATTTACTCACCGCTTGGCCAAAGATTCTAAATTTCATATACACAAGATCTTGAATATCTCTTGAACATTTCGTCATTTGCCGAACGGCTATATGTGTAAAATACTCTTTGTATTCAAGCGCTTTCGTGTACAAATTTTCGTTTGAATACGGCGAGTAGAAATATTTATTTTGAATTTTTCAAGATGCGGGTTTTACTCGCACTTGCGTACATTGGCCAATAAGAAGCTCCTGTAGCCGGGATGACGTCAAACTCACGCGTGTGGGTGCAATTTGACCTTGCGAATCCATTTCTGGCCTTTGCAGGGTCATACGATACAAGCTTCGCATTGTTTTGACGGTTTTCATTCGTATTTCCGGTTGGGATTAACTCACTTCGAGCTCACACTCGGACAAGAAATGGAAATATATTGATAAAAGATACAGATTTCAAGATACAGGCTTGCAAATAACACTCTAAGTAGTGTTTTTAATGGGGATTCTAACAAGACTATTACAAAGACGATATGTTCGAAGGGGCCGAAGTTATTTTCCGCGAAAGGTACAGCTAGTCAATATTTTTGTTCAGACAATTGCGTAATTTGATACAATATGATCGTGTTTGACTTTCAAAGGCCCATAAATCGCTACAATGTTGATAATGACTATAACTATAGGGAGGAATTAGTTGAATCTTTTAATTCTGAATCGAATGGTGGTATTTCTGTCTTCATAGCATGCACTGAACCGAAGATATTAAATTTCTGTGCAATCGTTCAGTGCTGAACGACGACACTGGGATGTGGTGAAAAGGAGTTAAAAGCCAAAATTATTTTGTGCGCCAATGTAGGCTGCTATAAAATGTCAGACAGTTGGTTTCTTTTGAAGTCTGGCTCTGAAAAACAATCCCTTTTTTTGAGTTTGAAATAAGCCTTCATAAGGACTATTGTGTAGAAATGTTATCTATATCCTCACATGAAAAAGATAACCTAATATTCAGGTATTCCACATAGCTATAAAAGGGTGAAATAAGAACTTTCATCTTTGGTTGTTTGTCAGACGTGAGAAACCACATATTAGTGCCATTTTGTCGCACGTGCTATTTTATAAAATAAACACCTCAAAACCATAAACTTTTAGTTCAGAAAATTACAAAGTTTCCCATAGACATTATTAAAAATGTTCTAGTGAAGCGATTTCATGATAAATGAGCAATGGGCCCAAAAGAACTGCTAAGGTTAGTAGTTTTTGTTAGGACTTCAATTTCATGGCTTCCCGCAAAGGAAGCCATTTCAGAGAGAAGCAACATTTTGCAAACCACCGTCGCGATCTATTTTGATAACTTTTCCTGCTGATTCAACGTGTAGTTACTAGAAAATAATGTTGCATCAACATTATTATCTGTTTGATAGGGGATATAAAAAACAGTAAAAATGCATTTTGAAAGCTTTACAACTCAAGGGCGGACTTTTTGAATATTCGCACGCGGCAAGCAAGCGCGTTTATTCAAAACACTTATTTTAAACTACAATACGTCTGAAACGAGTTGTCATTTTAACACTAAATTGATGAAAATAGATATAACAGTGATTTTGGAATATCCTACTTATTTAGTGCAATTTAATACTCAAAGTATTCTTGCTAAAAAGGTAAAAAAGATCACGTACCCACACAGTAAGTGTCGTTTGAAATATACTTTAGCTAAAATAACAACTTGAACAAGAAGACCAACAATGGGGTCACGAAAACAGTCAAAGTTGCACCCAAATTTGCATAAACAGTTTGTCTAAAAAGATAACTTTAAACTAGATTCAACCAACATTAATGCGGTCGAATTTTGTGAGTGTTTGATCGCATATTTCTACTCAAAAATACCCTTTAAAAAATCGTATCTGCTCACTTGAGCTCCGTGTTCATCTTTCTTGTGATTTCCGACTTCTATTTTTAATAAAGTTTGGAGAAATCCTCATCTTTTTGGCTGAAAATCTCGCGCATGGTTCACAGAAGAACTTGGCCCAAAACGTCAATACATTCTCTTTCCTTTCATGCCAAATTTTCGTTGTAAATCATTCAAAAACGTCTTCTTTTTTCTCTTTTAAAACTTGCTGTGAAATCCTTCTTTGCAACAATATCGCCATTATTTTGGAAAAACTAAGATTTTAAACTTGAAAAACTTTGAGAGTTTTTGGCCGATTTTCTTGCATGATACACTGTTGAAAAGCTCGAATTTCGCGTTCTATTTTCGTATCCGTTGCTAGGCAACCCGATAAACACATGCTCAAATATCATGCCTGCAAGTTGAGGTGTCATTTGAGGGCGTATGCGCGCGCATTGCCAGTTACCCACTTGCCAATCTCCGGGCGCATCTGGGCGCATTGCCAGTTAACGAGTTAAGACCGTTGGTCAGGACAATGATAGCAAGGTTAAGAGACTAGATGTCGTTCAGGTCAAAGTGAAGAATAAATCTGATTCTAGGTGCACCAGTGTTGAGGCTTTATGTGTTCCCACCAATCAATTTATCTCAAAAACACATGATTTGGAAGAATTTGAGGACTTGGAATTGGCTGACCATGAAGGCGATTCTCCAAACCTCCCAGTAGGAATTTTAATTGGGGTAGATTATTACCACATGTTCATGACAGGAAAGGTTGTGCAAAGTAAGGCGGGTCCAGTAGCATGCGGAACTAAGGTGGGATGGGTAGTAAGTGGCAAAATTGGGGCAGGTCCTCCTGACCTGCAGTGTTTCGAGACCCATATCCTACATGCCTCGGTTGAATGTAAAGAAACATCAGACGCTTTAAGACAAGATTTAGATAAATTTTGGTCCATGGAGACTATAGGCTCCTCCAGTGACTGTGTGGTCAGTCAGTTTGAAAATGACATAGGGCACGATGGGACCCAATATATAACGAAATTACCCTTAAATAAGCCAGACCATGAGCAGCTGCCAGACAACTTTAGTGTATGTGAAGAGCGTTTAACATCTCTAAAACGGCGTTTAACATCCAAACGAATTCTCAGGGAGTATGATACGATCTTTACAAGTACGAGAAAAACGGAATAATTGAATGCGTTCCTTCACATGAGATTGCTGGGGAAGTAGCTGGAAAAAATAATCCTTTCTTGTTAAACGCGACGTTGAGGCACCACCTTAGCAAGTATGTAGAGAAGGAGAATGCAGTCATAGAGCGTATTCGCGAGGATTTGTACGTAGATGATTTGGTTAGTGGAGGCAATAGCGTTGGTACAGCTAAGGAAATATATGAGACTAGTAAAGCCATTATGCTAGAGGGAGGGTTTGAATTACGTAAGTGGGTAACTAACGATCCAGAACTTCAAGCATATATTTCATCAACAATGGGTGACAAACCTAATTCCCAACCCCTAGGGGAAGATCTTACTTATGTCGAGGTAATGTCGCCTAATTTAGTTATGCCAAATCAGGCTGTCTTAGGTGTTGCGGGGATACCATCACGGATGAGTTTGTTTTTCAGTTCGATAATTTCTTGAGCAAATGTGCGAGCCTGGAGCAAACCAAGTGGAATTTACTGAGTGCATCGGCCTCGATTTTCGATCCATTGGGTGTGATTGCTCCTGTCACTGCCAGAATCAAAACAATATTTCAGTTATGTAAAAACAAATTAAATTGGGATGACCTTATCCCACCGGCACTTGCATCCAATTTGGAACAAGTTTTCAGAGGAATTAAAATCTCTGCGGGAAGTAAGACCACCTCGGTTTGTTTTTCATTTAAATTTTCATTCCGGAATCAGAGTTGAACTTCACGGGTTTTGTGATAGTCTATAGTGCGGTCATTTATCTGCGTTTTGTTTGCAGTAAAAGTGCAAAAGTCTCTTTTTTGGCGGCGAAAACCAGGGTTGGCGCCTTTAAATAAAATATTGGCTTGCTAATAGAATTTTTATGCTTTCCGCCCTAGACTGAGATTTAGATAAGTAGGTAATAGCCTAATAGGATAATACTGTGTACTTAGGAATTGCGGCTAGGATATAACCTGGTACAACCTGATACAACAAGGATTACTGAGGGAGTGATGAACACATCCTTGCAAAGTTAAATTCATTCACGCACCAACTACTGTGAAGTGAATATGATATTGTCGTAGACAATTTCTAAGTTTTGTCAACTTTTCATTATTTTCTTCAGATGTCATTAATTCAGGTAAGCATTTCTCATCTATACTTTACGATTTGCTCATAAGCTATATCGTATATCAGATTTATTTGTTCCTCGGGTCCTGAGGATTTTTAATACCACATTTGTATACCAACGTTGTTGGTTTATCGGAACTGTTCTTCATGTTGTTGAAGTTTGTTCTGACTAATATGATTGTACCAACGTTGTTGGTTTATCTCATGAACTGTTCTTCATGTTTTTGAAGTTTGTTCTGACTAATATAATTGTACCAACGTTGTTGGTTTATCGGAACTGTTCTTCATGTTTTGAAGTTTGTTCTGACTAATATAATTGTACCAACGTTGTTGGTTTATCTGAACTGTTCTTCATGTTTTGAAGTTTGTTCTGACTAATATAACTGTACCAACGTTGTTGGTTTATCTGAACTGTTCTTCATGTTTTTGAAGTTTGTTCTGACTAATATAATTTTACCAACGTTGTTGGTTTATCTGAACTGTTCTTCATGTTTTTGAAGTTTGTTCTGACTAATATAATTGTACCAATGTTGTTGGTTTATCTGAACTGTTCTTCATGTTTTTGAAGTTTGTACCTAATGTACCTTTGGCTATCCAGAGCTTGCCAATTGGCGAAAATGTCTGCCAGGCTTGCTTTGAAAATGTCTGCCAGGCTTGCTTTGCGAAAATGTCTGCCAGGCTTGCTTTGCAAAACTTTTACATTACATATTAGCATCGTTTTTTCTTGCGGCCCAACAATGCCATATTTTTAGCACGTCTACTCTATATAATCCCTTCTCATTACTATTTTATACTGTTCTGTAAGTTTTATCCTTGTCTACTATGCCACCCACAAAAAGGCAATCACGTAAACGACCAGCCAATGGCCCAGCTAGCGCTTTGCGTCCTCGACGTAGTCCTCGTTCGTTGACCAAAAGCAACACGGCAGCCACTCTTAATGCTGCTCCACTCACAACCGTCGTACCACCAGCAACTCTCACAGCACCGCAGGAAGAATTGCAAATGTCCAATCTCCCAGTGTCGCACGTACAATTGCCAGTGACTGTTTATCCACCAGCTGCTGGTGGCAATGCGACAAGTCCCATCTCGTCCAAGACGCCAGAACTGTTTCAGGAGTTGGTTTCGTCGGTGACTGATGCTGTAAATGCAACCCACGGATCCACGCCAAGAGCCGAGGGGCCTCTTTCCACATCACCTCCTTCTGTGCCATCTGCTGTTTTGCCTCGAACTGGACCAATGGCGATGCCATCTTCTACCTCTGGTTTTCATGACACAGCCAACTTGGTAACTGCGGCAATAGCTGCAGCTCACACAAGCATCTCTGGTGAGCCGCATTTATTGCCTACAATTAGAACTAGTTTTGGTCATAGCCCTGCAAGTTCTGCCGAGCCCACTCAAATTTTTCATTCAGCCAGTTTGCCACTTGATTCCAGGGTTTCGGCAAAACTCAAAGGAAAAATATGGAATGAGGAGTTTGTCGCTTTTGGCAGCTTGTTGTCGTTGAGCAATACTGAACACGAGAAATTTCAAATTTCCTTTATGAATTTGGAAGCGGGTCTTCCTGCTTCCTTCTGCCTCGAAATATCCAAAGCATTGAAGTTTGGCTGCAAGCGTTCCATATATTTGTAGGCATTTATACTCAAAAATACCCGCATGAGGCTCCCGCCCTCATGAAATACGGGCATACAATTCAGGACTTGGTGTTTCGCGGGCAGAATTGGCGTTTTTACGATGAGAATTTTCGCTTTCTACGTCAAACTCAACGCAGTCTAGTTCCCTGGGGTTCTATTCATGGGGAACTGTGGCTGCGTTCACAATACAGCATGAACATAACGCGAAACCAACCTCTAGTTCCCCCAATAAGGCAAAATAGATTCTCTAATGATTCTAGGCCGCGGCCAAATAATCAAGTGCCATGGGGTTATTGTTTTAAATTCCACCGGGGCCTAACTTGTTCAGGTTGGTTGTGACTTTAGTCACACTTGTTTTAAATGTCAAGGCAATCACCGAGGCAGTCAATGCGAAAGTAATTTTCGTGTCTCAAAAGGAAGTCACACGCCAATGACACCCGCAACGCCAAGTCCAACGCAATTACCCACGCCGGTAAAAATTCAGCCCTTAATAAGTTTGTTATCGGGTTACAAGCCATCTATTGTAAACATTTTAATTTCTGGTTTCTCGTGTGGTTTTCCATTGCATTTTCAAGGTGAAATTCAACAACTTCAGCCGAAAAATTTAACTTCTGCTTTAGACAATCCGGAAATTGTTGACATGAAACTAGGCAAAGAATTGGCTGCACATTGTTTGGCAGGTCCATTTTCGTCCCCGCCATTTGATTCCTTTCGCGTTTCTCCTCTTGGCCTTGTACCTAAGAAAACACCAGGGGAGTTTCGTTTAATTCATCATTTATCATTTCCCAAGGGCTCATCGGTTAACGATGGAATATCCCCCGAGCATACAAGCGTACATTATGCCACTGTGTCTGACGCTATACGTTTGATAAAAGCCGCAGGACATGGCTGTTTTTTGGCGAAAACTTATATAAAAAACGCCTTTCGAATTATGCCGGTTAATCCTAAATCGAATTATGCCGTATAATCTCTTAGGAATCAGATGGCGCGGGATGTATTATTACAACAAGTGCTTGCCAATGGGATGTGCAAGTTCATGCAAAACTTTCGAATCATGTAGCACTGCGGTGGAATGGATTGCTCGACATAAGTGCAATATCGACAAACTCCTTCATTTCTTTTTTTCTTCGATTTTCTTTTTATTTCTCCTAGTCACAGCCGGTGTCAGGATACATTGGATAGATTTTTAAAATTATGCGCTCAACTCGGAATTCCAATTACACCTGAAAAAACTTGCGGTCCCGCAACGACTCTCATATTTGCGGGCATTGAGTTAGATTCTATAAAATGTGAAGCCCGTTTACTGCGCAATAAAATAGAAAAGTGTGTGCAAACTATTGCGGACTTTCTACACCGAAAGAAGGTTACCCTCAAAGAACTCCAATCTTTGATAGGATTATTGAATTTTGTGTGTTCCGTGGTTACGCCAGGTTGCGCATTTTCGCGATTATTATTCATTCTATCCAATTGTCCTAAGCCTTTACCTGTGGGGTCATCATATGAGCAACCAATCTATTTTATTTTTTACTGATAATGAAGCATTAGTTCATGTTATCAACAAAAAATCATGTCGTGACAAATCTTTGAGGTGTTTTGTGCACACAATGGTGCTAGTTTGCTTACAAAACAATATTGAATTCAAAGCAAAACATATCGCCGGAATTTCTAATAAATTGGTGGATTCTTTATCTCGCTTTCAGGTGTCCACCTTTCACCAGTTAGCACCGGCCAACATGAACAGGCTTCCAATGGACATCCCCCTTCATCTGCAGCCTCAAAGTTGGCAAATACAATTACACACTTGGCAACAGTCTAGCTTGCAAAAATCTTCGAAAAAAAAAAGTTCTTGCAAAAATCTTCTTCAATTTTGCGGTCTAAATCCAACTCGCTATAAATCTCACAGTTTCCGAATTGGGCTGCTTCTTATGCTGCAGAAAAGGGGATGTCGGATGCACAAATCCGCACATTAGGGCGATGGAAGTGTAATGCTTTTCAGCATCAGGGTTTCATCGCTCTCCACTTAACTTTTAGTTCTAATACTATTTGTATAATTATGTCCTATCTACAAGACTAGCGGGGAGTCTTGGGGTAAGGCCTTCTTTAATTACCGTAAGATTCAGCTGTCAACGGGTGACAATTGGTACCACACAGTGGCTGGTACTGGTTGTTGCTTGTTGCGGTTTCATTTATTTAGTATTTAGTTACTTTACACAACATGCAGTTGATAATTGGTACCAAGCAGGAGCTGGTACTTGTTGTTGCAGTTGTATATTATTACATAGTTTACCAGTGTGCAAGGGCCGCTGACTTTATTTTTCAAGGCTTGTAGATTAACAGGAGTTTCTTATCAACAGTTAGCACGGGCGGCTGTTGTATAGTATTATTTTCATATTAGTTATTTGGTATTTTACTGCATGCTACTGTTGGAATGTACATTTACTATATTTTTGCGCACTGACACATCGCAATTCACAGCTTGCAGGGGCGTCTGTGATCTCATTTTATCTTCATATGACGAATAGCAGATGGAGACTTGAGTCTTGCATTGCCTGGGGTGGGGTGCATCTTAGCAGAGTAAGATGCTTTGGCGTAATCTTGCCCAAGTTTTGTCAACTGTTCACCCGCCTCCTCCCCAGTATTGCATCCATATGCTAGTTTTCAGTTTGTATGTAGTGATGGCATAATCTTGCCCTCACCTTTACTGGGCAAAACTGTTTGAGCACATCTTTCATGTGCAATATATATTTATATATAATTAATTAATTTCTGTTATGAAGATCTAAAATAAAGCGGCTGAGGGATTGTTAAACCCCAAGCCAAATTAACCCAATCACGTGTCAGATTTATTATACTGTCTACCGTGCAGCCCAGTAAACAGAGCTCAATCAATGCAACACTCAAGCTTCGATACGTTTAGGATTGTTATGTCGGGTATAGGGGGGAAAGCATAAAAACCCTTACTATTCCCAGGTTGGAACTATTGGGGTGTTTGTTATTGAGCAAGTTGATCAATGAGATTGTACTTGGTATACGAGGGCATGTAGAGTTGGATGAAATATTCTGTTGGTCGGATTCAGAAGTGGCGTTGAGTTGGATAAGGGGAAAGGAGCGAAGCTGGGAACCTTGGGTAGAGAATAGAGTTGTCACCATTAGAAAGGTTGTCGATCGTGATCGGTGGAATTTTGTTAAAGGAGAACTGAATCCTGCAGATATCCCCACTAGGATATCAACTAGTCTAGTTGAGTGTTTCTCAGGATGTTGGTTTACTGGTCCTTCGGTGTTGTTGTCTCAACCTTCTGCATACAGAGGCGAGAGAAGTGATACTCTTTGTGATCAAACGTCTTTGGGCGGGAGAGAACGTTCTAACAGAGAACGTTCTAACAGAGAACGTTCTAACGGCTGACGAATACGAGCAAGCGTTACACATGTGGATTAGAGAAGAACAATCTCTGATAAAGGGACAATCAAATTTTGCTCACGTTTGTGCTTCATTGAATTTGTTCGAAAACAAAGACCGATTTTTACGGTTCGAAGGGAATATTTGAACGAGCTGAGACAAATGAACCTCTACCAGAAAAGGAAAACCACTACGCGAGGTCTAACCGTTGGTGATGTTGTTTTGATTAAAGAGGATGAACCAGCACCTCGGGCATAGTGGAGGATTGGAAGAGTCTTGCAGCTGGTGAAAGGACGTGATGGACTGGTCAGGGGAGCTAAATTGAAGGTTCTAGCAAAGGGTGGAGCTCAGTCGTAGGTTCACAGACCGTTACAAAGCTAATACCTTTCGAGATCGTCCAGGATGGCGTCGACAAGCATGAAGGGGATGACAACGATAAGAACGCAGAACAGCATAACACGACTGAGACCGAGTCAAGAGCGGATGAGCGAAAAGGAAGTAGAAGACCAACGAGGAAGGCAGCGATCGATGGAGAAAACTTGCGGAGAATTCGCGAACAGTATACATAGCGAAACATTTAAACTGTTAGCGATTTTTTCCGGTTGGGGAGGATGTAGAAAACATTAATCTAGTGCATGACGTTTTACATTTATTTACTTTAAATAACATTATTGGTTCTGTTATAATCACGTGAGCTGTCATGTGAGCTGTCACGTGGTGAGACGATTAAAAATACATGTGTAGAGCAATCGGAAGTTAGTTGGGATAAATCATAAGCGTGTCATGGTTTTATGTGATAAAAAATAACGTTAATTTACATAAACTTTAGCTTTGATTTTCTCTCGGTTTAGACAAAGTTTATTTTAAAAATTACTTCGCCAATGAACTCGTATAAGATGAGTCGTTTTTGAAGCTATTTAAAGCACTTGTAGTCGTGTTTTATCACATATAAAACACTCTGCTATGCGCCGTGTTTTATATGTGATAAAACACTCCTATGCGTGCTTTAAATAGTACATAAAGAATTGTTCCCGGGTTGCCCAGATTTCTTGAACCATTTTGTTTTCACAGGGAGATCAATGTTACTTGGATGTGCCTTGTTAAGAGATTTTTTACAAAGTTGCATATTGTAAAAGTTTCCCAAAATTTGCAGAGGCAATACATTCACAGGAAAAATTTTCAAAATTCCATTAATGGATTTGAAAGTGGGAAATAATACATTTCCCATTAAGAATTCCCATCAATGGGTAAGGCGAATAATTTACATCAATGGTTTTCGTTATCATAATCATTAATGGTTTTAAGTACTTACCATTAATGTAAAAAGGAAAATATCACAAATTCTATGAATGGGTAATGGCTTAAAAATATCATGGTAATTACTCTTTTCCCACAAATGATATGAATGGTTTATGTCCATATTACATTACAGTTATTATGTTTTTCCGTGAATAATATGAGTGGGTTATATCCATATTACATCATGGTAATTAATCATTTTCCATGAATGATATGAATGGATTATATCCATATTACTTCATGGTAAATAATCATTTTCCATGAATAATATGAGTGGGTTATATCCATATTACATCATGGTAATTAATCATTTTCCATGAATGATATGAATGGATTATATCCATATTACATCATGGTAAATAATCATTTCCCATGAATAATATGAGTGGGTTATATCCATATTACATCATGGTAATCAATCATTTTCCATGAATAATATGAGTGGGTTATATACATATTACATCATGGTAATCAATCATTTCCCATGAATAATATGAGTGGGTTATATACATATTACATCATGGTAATTAATCATTTTCCATGAATGATATGAATGGATTGTATCCATATTACATCATGCTAATTAATCATTTCCCATTAATAATATGAGTGGGTTTTTTCCATATTACATCATGGTAATTAATCTTTTCCCATGAATGATATGAATGGTTTATACCCATATTACATCATGGTAATTAATGTTTTTCCATGAATGTTATGAATGGTTTATATCTATATTACATCATGGTAATTAATCTTTTTCCATGAATGTTATGAATGGTTTATATCCATATTACATCATGGAAATTACCTTTTCCATTGGACAGGTATGAATGACCGCTCATTCATATAGCTAGATGGCATGAATGGGAAAAGTGCAAAACAAATTAAATATTAAGTTCTTTGTATGTTTGCATGGTGATAAAATATAATAGGTTTTGTTAGATTTGGCCAGTCATCCACTACAACGCACCGTTATCAATATGAGTGCTAGAAGACTTACGCCGGTTGAAGAAGATGTCTTGGCTCTTGGATTAAATTTCGCTGTGGTACCCCGCGTTCTACCTAAAGAAGAATTTGTACAACGTTTGGAACCGAAGTTATACCACATGACGAACGATGCAGCTAGTAACATCCGCGTCCAAATCACTGAGGTTCTACGACGTGCAACGCTTCCAGCTTCGAATTTAACCAAGAATAAGAAGGATGCATTGAGAAACTTAAGAGCAGATAAGTCAATACATATTTTAAAGGCTGATAAGGGTAACGCTACGGTTATTTTAGATCGTCTAGAATATGATAATAAAATCTTGGCTCTTTTAAACACTTCAACTTATAAAGAGCTTAAAAGAGACCCTACAGCTAACATTGAACGTAAAATATGTTCCAAACTATCTGGTTTTAAAAAGGCAGGTATTTTGTCTCAAACACTTCATAATTGTTTGAGACCTTCAGCTACTGTTTGTCCAAAATTTTATGGTTTGCCTAAGATACATAAATCTAATGTCCCACTAAGACCTATTGTAGCGTCCATAGGTTCGCCAACGTATGCTCTGGCTAAATATCTCGCTGAGATATTGAAACCAGTTGTTGGAAAAACAGAACATCATGTAGTAAATTCTAAAGAATTTGTAGCAAAATTGGAACTTGCAAGAATGACATTCTGGTAAGTTTTGACGTAGTTAGCTTGTTCACTAATGTTCCAGTTGAAGAGGCTTGTAATATCGCGAAAGAAAGACTTCTTTCAGATATTACTTTATCTCAAAGAACTAATCTTTCTCCTGAGAATGTTCATGATTTGTTGAAACTATGTTTGACCACGACATGTTTTCAATGGCGGGAGAAATTCTATGAACAAACAAACGGCGCTCCAATGGGAAGTCCATTGTCGCCTGTTATGGCTAATTTGTTCATGGAGGAATTTGAAAAGAAGGCCTTAGCTACTGCAAAGTTGAAACCTGGTTTCTGGTTCAGATACGTGGATGATACATTGAGTAGCTGGTCTCATGGACTAGATAATCTACAAAAGTTTCTAGACCACATTAATAGTTTGCATCCATCGATCAAGTTTACTTTTGAAGTACAGAAGGATGATAAAACTATACCTTTCTTAGATGTTCTTTTCACTATACATGATGATGGGTCGCTAGGACATAAGGTTTATAGGAAACCAACACATACAGACAGGTATCTGCATTATAATTCATTTCATCATCCTAGTATCAAAAACTCTGTGTGTAAGACACTCATCAACCGAGCGAAAACAATTTGTGAGGTAAGTAACGTTGACAATGAATTAGAACATTTAAGAAATGTTCTAAAAACGAATGGTTACCCACGGCATTTCATAGATAATGCTATGAAAACGCCACAAAGTATACAGCAGAAGATTGAGTACCAGTCGTCTGTTTGTCTACCATACATTGGCCCGGCTTCACACAAAATCGAAAGAATTTTGAGGAATGAAGCAGGTATAAAGGTATACCATTCCAGCGAAAACAAATTGTTTCGAGCTCTTTGCACACATAAGGACAATGTAAATGAATCTCAAAAACCTGGTGTGTACCGCATTCCTTGTGAATGTGGTCTGGTTTACATTGGTGAAACTGGTCGAAATCTCTCAGTACGTCTTAAGGAACACAAGACGAATTGCGAGAAAGCCGAGCAAGATAAATCTGCTGTGGCTAAACATACTTGGACTTACGACCATCGTATAAAATGGGACGAAGCAACCATTTTGGCAATTGATAGTCACAAGTTCTCTCGCAAAATGAGAGAGTCAATTGAAATTGAGAAGCACAATACTATAGATCAGGAGGGAAAGCCACTAGATAGTACGTGGCGTGCTCTCTTTAATGTGCAAAATTAATTTCTCTTGTCTTGGATGCGCGCGCGTTAATTGGAATCACTTCACTACGTTTGGAATGACGTGGTTGATGTGCCGTTTAATTAAATTTCAAATGACGCGAGCCAACAGATCACGACACTTTTGTATATAAAAAGAGCGTGTGAATTAAACAAGTCACATATTATTAGCACTGATGAAGATCCGGGCTTACGGATCGAAAGCTTTGCAGTAATAAATTTACGTGGTGTTTCCACAAACAAAACCTATTAAATTAAATATTATTGAAACAGATACTAAAGGTAATAAAGCTATAACAAATACCGGTACTAAAAAGTACCATGGTACTACCCCAAAATTTTAATGTTTAACACAACTGAACATTTGACATTACATTTACAACACAATTAGCCTGCAATATTACCACCATGAGCACCAATCCCTTAAACAGTTTGCCATTTGGCATGTTCTTGAATTAAACTAACAACCTAATTAACTTAAACAAAATTCTTGTGTACTACAATACACCTTTTCGGTACCGTAATTATGTCACAACTACATTGTTTTCAACTAATGGGCTATGTGCATACTGCTATTGATCGCTATATATAGCACCCTGGTGCAGAGAACCAGAACATCCTTTTTCAACACATGCAAGAAAATAATGGTGGTCCTTCAGTTGAAAACAATGTAGTTGTGACATAATTACCAAAAAGGTCTAACTTTAACTAATTATTTCCAACACCAACATATATTTGTTTTTATAGGATGGAAAAGTTTTCCTGTAAGATATTGAACTTAAACTATACAAGCACAAAACAATATGAACCAGTTTCAATTGAATATATAAAGCATCACAGCTAATCTAAAATGCTTTTAATCTAATAATCTCACTTCGGTTAAGTTTCTGCAAACTACGTCCTTTTTTAATTTTGAGATACCCTGCTTTGATAAGAGCCGTAGCTAATGGCATTAGAAACTCTTCTTTACTGGAACATTTCAACTTTAAATTTAATGTCTTACTGGCTGAGAGAAGCTGGGTTCTTGTGATACTTTTTATGTTGATTGCTTGAAATGCAACTGAGATAATAAGTCCAGCTGAGTGTACACTCATGTTTTCCATCTCTGCAGCCTCTGCTACTGTCATAACTGTAGAAAAGCATACAAAAGTTATAAGATTAGTGAAATAAATTGACCCTATCATACATACTACCCAAGTAAATATTTACATATACACACATACAGTAGGGGTGCAACCAATTAACCAATTTTCCTGCATCCGGCCGGATTTTCTCCAAATCCGGCCGGATTTAAATTTCTGTTTTCACCTTAAAAAATTCACCAAGAATGGGATAAACCATCAATTTGGCAGCTTTAAAGTTTAAAAAAACACTTATATTATTATAAAATATTAAGTTATTAACAAAAAGATGTTTAAAAAAGGTTTAAATACAATCAAAAATCTAAACTGACACTAACTAAAAATAGTAAAAAACATAAACAGTCATTTTGAATACTGATTTATCCCCAATTGTCCCCATTACCGGTTTATCTCAAATCCGGCCGGAATTTTGTCCAAATCTGGCAAATCCGGTTCCGGCCGGATTTGAAAATTCCAAATCCGGTGCACCCCTAACATACACTATAATTTAATTTGTAATTATAAGTTATCTGCGAATGGTTTTAAGTGGAAAAGAAGGAATACATTAGTAATTTTTGTTTTCTTCAATCAAATGTGTACCACGCTACTAATATGCATTTCAATATGTACATTTCTTGTTTGTTTCGAGTATGAATGCCTATAAACGCCATATAATAAACCTTTTATTAACCTTGGTATGTACAGAGAAATATCAGACCTCTGTCTTTTTGCACAAACCTCACCCTATGGACTTAATTGGTCTGTACAAAAAAATACCTTGGTTAGATATTTCTCAGTAAAGACCTCGCGCTCGGTTAATAAAAAATTACCTTTGCCACCTGTGCTTGCATTAGACTTAGACTGCTGTGGGGTGTCTTTGGAAGAATCCATCTCATCACCACATGATGGATGAAGTCCATCATCTGCCATTTCATGTTTATCATCCTCGTCACTATCGTCACCTTTATCCATCTCTTTACACTCATCATCTTCACTTTTATCAGCTTCATCTTCACTTTTATCATCATCAACATATTGTTCCGGTAGTTCTGGAAATTTGAATATTTTTGCACCACATGGTTTTTGTTGTTGCTTTGCCAGTTTTTGACCAACAGAATCTTCTTGCAAATATTAGAATGAAATGATTGAATAATGGTAATCATCAGTGTGAAATGTGAATATGGACCATTTGTCCATTTTCCTTCTGTAGTTTAAATTTCTTCCTGCTGTGAACTAAAAAGATCACCCCATGGCTACAAGGTAGAAAATATACAATAAGAAGTTTGTTTGATAAATAAGTTTGAGTTCCGTTGGCAGGAACAGGAACTCTGAAAAATTGATGTTCCGACTGCATGAAACTAACTGGCCGTTAAGTGTGTGATTAGTTGATGGAAAAAGTGATTTCCAAAAGAGTATGTACCTTATCATAGTCATGTCCTTTGTGAATTCGTCTTCTTCTTTCATTTAATGTATCCAGTATGTGCTGTCGTATACCTTCCTTCCCAAATCCAGCAGGTGCATAAGTGCAACTCGCAACCAATTCATTCACCAAATGTTCAAGCTCATTCAAGGCAGTTTCATTTTTCCTGAAAATGGGAATGGTATTTCCTGGCCACCGCTTAACAGCATGTTCTTGAACAGTACGACGCCTACTCAGGAGACAGAACATTTGAATCAAAAGGTGAAAAGGAGCATTTAATACAGAGAAAGGAGGAGGGAGTGTTTGCCCCCTCCTGGACTCCCCCTTGTCTACACCACTGACTTTTCACTGACTCTATATATTTTATAGATACTTACTTAGCTTTGTATATCTTTGCATCTAAAGCAGACATACTTTTTATTGCATTTCGTGATGGCTTTTTACTTGATGCTGATGAACTGGAGGGTGTGCTGGAGCTGCTGGAGCAGCTAGGCGAAGGAGATGCAGTTACACTGATTTCACGAGCATCGTGTTGTGAAAATTGTCTCACGAGACGCTGAAATTCCAATTGCGAACCTATGTCATCTAAACCGCATTCCTTCAACTGCTCTACTGTACCATTTGCTGCCATATATTTCAATAAAGAACCTTTGATATTTTGTTCTACAGAAAAGCAATTTGATTTTTTTATAATGATCCTTGTCAAGGATTAAAATTGGCTTTGGTATGGCCAACCGTAAGCCAGTAAATAAATAGTTTTAAATATTGATGCAAAATATATAAAATAAATAGTATTAAATATTGATGCAAAATGATCCGAAAATTGAGTGTTTTAAAATCACAGTGTGATTACAAATAAAAGCCCATTTACGACAGTAAATAATATGTGCAAATATATGCAATATAATATGTGTAAATATATGCAAATACTTAATAAAAATGTGTTTCTATGGTAAAAGAAACTACAATATAGTGAATGTTTTACAAATAAAACCTTTGAATTTGTCCGCCGTTTCTTCGACTTGTTGTCCAATTTTCTATGTCAGTTACATCGGGAGCTTCTGATACATCCATATTCCAAAAAAATTGTCTTTAAAATCTTAAAATCTTAAACTACTTCGACAAATCACAGTAAAAAGTTTTCAACTCATTCTTAATAAATCTTAAAGTTATATTTCTCAACATATTTTCCCGCGCAAAGGCGGTTTTCCACTTTATTAGCGAAAACGTTCCGGTGAAATTTCCAGCGAAATTGGGAACGGAAAAATTCAAAATTCTCATGCCAAGTGGCAACATTTGAATATTAGTCAATTCGAGCACAGAATAGGAAGTTACAGCAGAAGAGTAACTCTATTAAAATTGGTATTATTATTATTAGCACTGATGAAGATCCAGGCTTACGGATCGAAAGCTTTGCAGTAATAAATTTACGTGGTGTTTCCACAAACAAAAACAAGTATATTTTATCGCCATGCAAACATTAATTCAAAGAACTTAGTAACTCTATTGTTTTATTAATACGTGCACGAAAATTTTGACTCGCTCACGCCAACACGTCATCCTGGCTAGTACAACCGGAATTTTTTATCAGGTTTTGGTAGGTACAAAGTGCCGGTTGTACTAGCCAGGATGGCGTGATTGATGACGAATCACTGACGAATCGCTTGTAAAAATGCGGACAAATATTCTGTGATTCAAGAGTCAATTTTCTTTTTTGTTTCACTGATTTGCAAGATTAAAAGTACCATTGAGTGTCTGAGTATCTTTTTGTATCTGAATGAATTTTAACGAGTTATCTTGGTCAAGAAACGAAGTTTCAACGTGTACATGCGATGAGCTCAATTACAGACACTCACATTGCCCATGTCATTTCTGCAATGGAAAAGCCGTTTCCTCTTCCACTGAGTATAACCACTGGGAAAGAAACAACCTATTGTTACAGTAAGTTCTTAACAATCAGTATTTAGGCAATTGGGCATATCTGCAATGTAAAAAAATTGACTTGATATTTGTTGGACAAATAGTATGTCAATTCTGCTGCATGTTTCAATACAGGGTGTATAATAGTGCGCTGAAGTTCGATTACCTTTTTTTATACACCCTGTATAAACTGTCCTATTGTCCTGGGTCAGTATAAAGTGCCACTAGTGTCCAGTGGCATAGCCAGCCCGACAATTTATTCCCGCTATGCAAATTCAAAATTATTATCATTATTCATTACCTTAGAAATCGATTGTTTTCACAGTCAATGAACACGAAAATATTTGCATAGATGGTGTGATGCGAAATTCCTGACTTGCTAAATATCTGACTATTGTAAAACTGCCCATGCGCAGACGAGACGCATGAAGGACTTTGGCTCATAAATTTCGCAACTCAACAGACAACATGTGTATTTATAAAGTCATTTTGTTGGATAATATTTATACATACATTTTCAAATTATACAATTTACACTAAACCACTAGTTGTGAACGTAAGCGTTCAGCGATAATAAAGCTTGAATCTAAAATCAATCGAAAAGCGCTGTTAGTGGTATAAAATCATATAAGATATCTATGTATAAAATAGACTCCAGTTTCAAAGGTGATGCTCCAGTTTCAAAGGTGATACATTTAACGATACTATTGGTATTAAACATTGTATATATAATGGCTTAAAAATCGTTTTGACTGACCATATTTAGCAAACGTCGTGTATTTCGCGGTCACAACCACACAACCCGCTTTGAAATTTAAAGTGTTTGTAAACTGAAACTTAGCGATGTCGATTTGAAATATTTAATGAAGCATTAGAAATTAACATCATGATTACTTTTATCTAAACTCTAAAAAACAGTTTTGGCCGACTTAGAATTTATCAAGCATCATATATTTCGCACCTGCACGCGCAAAATATATGACCCATTGCATGGTCAGGTATTTCGCAGAGGTCAGGAATTTCGCTTGACACCGGACTAAATCGTCGGGATGGCTACGCTAGTACGTGTCCTAGGGAGTGGAATTTCCCATGAAATGCATTATAGAAATCAGAGAAATTGCATGGGGTATGTGGAACCACATTATAATTAAGGTGGAACAGTGGTAATATAT